AGTTGCTCTTGACATAAGAGATAGTAGTAACTCAGTGGTTTCTCCAGATATGTGCAGTTCACACGAGAATGGGTTCCATACCGATACAGTCAATGTTTTCTCACATGTTCATTGTCACTCTTGGTCATCCCTGTTCTGTTTGTCTAGAGACCCTCATCTCTAAGTAATTCCCATCCAGTGTTACCATTTGCACATTTTATCTTTAGGTCCTTTCATTTAATGTTCTCCTTCATGGTAAACATATTTTTTCTCTGCTTCTTTAAGGTGATTTTTTTCACTGTCAATGATCCAAATATTTTTTTATAAGGCTTTACATGTCAGAATAGAACTAAAGTAATATTGAAAGGGTTTTTCACTTGCAATTTCAATAATGTAGGGTGGGAAATGAAATACAGGAGGGAATAAAGAAGCCTGCTATAAGTGAATCACTTTTAAATGGTCTTTTGCATACAACACTAATAAAATGGTTTGTGGTTCTTAAAATATCGGTAGAAGTAAACAGTATTAAATTCAGAATTATCTTTATAATCTCATTAAAAAATTCTAAAAGATTAAAAAATGATAATGGGTAAAATTGCAGCATAATTTAATGACTCCCCTCCCAGAAGATAAAAAGGACCAGAGAAGATCTGTCATATAGCAACAAAATAGTCCATATGTGCATACAAATCAGAATGTATTAATAATTAAATTAACTATGGTATGACTAAATAATCCTTACAAAAAGTTAGAATATAGCACTGGGCTAAATACCAAATCAATTTTTATTTAAATTAGATGCTCTTGAAGCTAACAAGCAGTAAAGGGAAAATAAAAACACCACCAGGAAACAAAAAAATATGACTTGTACTTTATTAACCTCAAAGTTTGCTACTGAATAGGATATTTACTAGATCTAAATTATGCTATTTCTGAGCAATCATTCTACAATTAGCTTTCCAGGAAGCTATATTATTTCATTACTTATTTAAAGGCTCCAGTAAAGCCACACTATTCAATGGAGTCAGCACTCGTCACATACATGAAGTTAAATGGAGTAATTAAAATGAATTCAAAACTCAGCTCCTCAGTCAAACTAGTTATGTTTCCAATGTACCTTCAGTATGGGTAATGGATGCCTTGTACTGGAACGTTCAGAGAAACTTATTTTCAGCATCACGGTAAGTTCTATGGATAGCACTGTTTTAGAAATCATAGCATGAATTTTTGATGTCTAACGATAAACTAATACTCTTTTCCTGTACAATACAAGAATGATAGAAATATCATTTATGTTTTCTCCAATTCAGGCACTACTATGCCAGGATTATCTGTATTTCAACTTCATGTATGTACAATGTATGCTTGTGTACATTGATACATATTTATACCCATGTTGTTAGACAATATATTTTTAAATTTAATCAATGCATGTAGCTGGAAGGGATTATGCTAAGCAAAACAATAGAAAAACATGAGAAGTATTGGATGGTTTTACTGATGTGTGAAATATAGAGAACCCAAACAAAATGTCAAGTAAAAGATAAACTTGCAAACTGACCATAGAGTTGAGGCATCCATCTGGGGTGAGGGAGGGAGTGTGGTCAAGCACAAGAGGGAAGAGCACAAGGATCTGTGGTGGTGGTGGGTCATGGGGGCTGTGGTGGTGGGAGAACTACAGGGACTAGACCTGAGGGGAGACATCAAAGGCTGTCTAAAAACTAACAAAAACAAAAATCAAGAAAAATAGCCACTACACACATTTATTTACTTTTCATTCTTTCTTATATCTTTTTACTATTTTTGGGAATCATTTTACTTTCAAGCATGTAAGGCTTCAGTAGATATTCCAGCAGTGAAAAGCTAGTGAAACATTTGCTAAATTTTTGATTATGTGAAAATCAATGTCTCCTTTATTTTTGCAACAGACTCTCCAATTAATTAATCTATTTTTAAATATTTCTTTCTTCAGAAATTTAATGATATTTAGTTGTGTGCTAACCTTTTTTCTTCTCTCTGTTTAGCATTCAGTTGTCAATTTAAATGATGCATTTTTAAAATTTTACTTATACTTTTGTTTTCTTCTGTTTTTTACATTTTTCTTTGCTGTCTGATTTGTCAGTTTTACTCCAGTGTGCATATATACGATCCTTTCTTTAAGTTTTCAGCTATGTGATTTGTACACGTTCTTGAACTTGTGAACTGGTGTTCTACTTGGAAAATTTCTCTCGGGATCTCATTTTATTGCATGTTACTTCTCTTGGATTTGATGATTTTTTTTTTATGACTTGTCAGTAGATTGATTTTTTATTGAATTCGTGTATGTAAACATATACATATATTCAATATACATTCAAATTCTGAATTTAGGGTGTAATTGTAGTTATGCTAGATCTTTCCATATTTTCCAAACTCTATCTACTCTGTAACTTCATAGGGTATTTTTATTGATTACTTTATTTTATATTTTTGATATATTCTACTAAACAATTAGTAATTGCTTCTTCATTTATGCTTGAGCTACTTTTAATCACTGCCACCTATATTTAGTTTATTGTATTTATTGTTTTCTAATTTTTACTTGCTTCTTTTAGTGTTTCCATGCCCTGTCAACCACATTAATCCCTCTTTTCAGCCCCCAAGAATATTAATCTAATTTCCATTTACTGAATATCTTATCTTTTTCTATTACACATACATATTTTAAATTTAATCATATCTGATTTCTTGCAGTGTAGTTAAATCTACTTGGTATCATATTGTCTGTATCTATGTTTATGTTATATGTGTATACACACATTTATATATATATATATACATATACATGTATATGTATATATATATATATATATATATAGTTTGTATATTTGTCTAGATTATTTTCTATAGTCTCATATTGCTGAATTAACCCCTACCTATAAATTTTAACTGTGTTTATATTTGTGTCTATTTCTATCTGTGTAAAGAGATGATTTATATCTCATCCTCATGTTAGCCTAGTACAATATTGAAATAATTTGAAACTGAACTTAGTTCCTAGCAAGGAGTAAGTATTTATAGTTCATCCTACTCTGAGATTTTACTTAAAGTATAGATTTACTATGTAGAGGTTAGATTTAGAATTTATCTAGAAAATTTTGTTCAAAATCATTGTAAATTTCTCACCTTTAATTTTCATAATCCATCTCATGAATCTCATTAGAGCTTCATTTGGATTCAACAAGAACCCCAATTTAAAAGTAGGGACACTATTGTTCTAGTTTCTCTTATAGTTTGGATCTTCTAATAGCTATGTATTTAGACCTATTTTTTTTTAGTCCATATTTTCTAGATTAAATATTAGTTCCAAATAATATTTGTAAGCCATTGTCTTTGTTTATTCCATCTCAGAAATAAGCAGTTTGCACCAAATCATTGGATTGAAGATTTCTTTCATAACATATGAAAGAGAAATTAGAATAGGAGAGGGTATCTGATCACAAACCTGATTTTGTGTGGAACGGGAGGTGATAAAAATTAAAATCACTGTGATTTTAAAATGTAACACTTTTGCTGGTGAAGGCAGTTGTTCCATCAGTGATGAAATGGTGACTATTCATCAGATATTTTAGACCATATTGTTATTACCACGCCATTCAAAATGTCCTTATGTAAGCTAACTAAATTTCGACTTATCCCATGAATATAGCGGGCATTTTCACTCAAGCTTGATTTCTTCCCTTTTCCTAGACTTCTCTAATGCCCCTTTCAATTCTCCATTGTCTTTGTAATTCAAAATAGACTCCATCTTTTTAAGATGTCATGAAAGGGGTTTTCCTTCTACATTTTTTATTCTTCTTTGTCTCCATTTTTTTTACATTGAGCATTAAGGATTAAGGGGATCTTTCTTCATGGGACATTGTAGAGTAAGAAAATAATGGATTGGGATATTTGTTAGCATTGCTTTAACTGTTTTTAGTTTCCTTATCAAAGGGTTCCTTCATTAAACTTCACTTTTCTGGAAAGGCTTTGTTTTAGAAACTAGAACATTATCATAAAAAAGAGAAGTGACCTTTTGCTACTTTTTTGTTGAGATGCTCATTAAATCATTACTTTAGTAATAGTAAAGCAATAATCTTCAGTTTTATTTCATTTGAAACATGAGTAAAACCAAGGTGGAATATCAACCATATAATTTTAGATCCTTCCCTCAAATTTCATGCTATTTGTCATTGCACATGTGAAAATAAAGTCATGTTGAATACTCATCAGGGAGATTCAAGTACTTGATGATTCTTACCTAAAAAATGTTGAGTAAAGTCAGACAGTTACTTAAAATTCATACATAATCATTTTAATTTATCTATGCTTTTTTTCATATACCATCCTAGTCATAAAAATATGTTATTTTTGTTCTCTGAATTTCTGAAATGACTGTCTACTGGTCTGATAACTGTAGAAATATATACGAAGACTCGTCTCATACAGGTGAACCAATCTGGCTTCTGATTCTGAAAGTTTAATTCATAAAGTCAATATATTTTAACAATAATTTCCCAGTACCTACATTGAAATAAATAAAAATATTATGCTACCCTGACTTAGTTTAGATCCCCGAACTCTAAGGATTGAAAAACCTTTTTCCATTATCATACTGATGTTTCAGAACATCTCTTTTTCACAGTCAAACCACTAGTGAATAAAAAGCTAGTGATAGTAAACAACCAGCTGGCTATCACAATCAATAAATTTGTTAGATCACCATTTGCATGTTTACATTATTTTTGAAGAAAAGCCAATAAATGGAATCTGTTTCCATAGCAGAACGTACACTTCATTTTGAGTCAATAACTTAATTATATAATTTTTCAGATCTGTCAGGCAGAACTTGGCATCAGACACTAGGTGAGAATATGATAAACAGAATTAAGACAGTAACTCTTCTGGAGACACAGAAGATAAAAAAGTACAGGAGAAGAGGCATTTTTATCTTGAACATCAATATAAGAAATTTAGTGAGAGCATCAATAGAGGCCAGTTCCTTAGGTTGATCTGTAACAAGATGCCCGGCAGGTGCTAGAAGTCAAGTAGTCAGGGTGGCAGTATCCAAACACATAGTTCAATGAGGGGAAATTGTGGACTCCACGAGCCTGTGGTCTGAAGTTACTGGAACCACATTCCCCTATGTAGGAGCTTCCATATTCATAACTCTGGGAGCAGCTGCTGCTGGACCCACAGCCCTGAGGCCCAGAAGTAGTTGTCTGGGAAGGACTGAAGGGGGTGGAGGGCCTGGGGCGGGAGCAGGACGTCAGGCAGGGGCTGGACACCACACCAGATGTGTGGCAGCTGAAGGGCTTACCGCCGGTCCCCTGGCAGCCACTGGAGAGAGCAGTTCCGCACTGGCAGGGCCCACAAGAGCTGAGGTCAATATTGCAGGTCATGTTGCTGGGGTTGGAAGAACCACTGGAGGAGGCTGGGTGGCTTTGGCAGTCCCCAAGGGAATGGGAAGAGTTTTCAGAACAGCAGTTGTTGGACATGTTGACAGGAGATGTGAGGTCAGCTCAGTGATAAGGGCAAATTTCTATGTCGCAATGTTAACCCTTAGCTGTGGCATTTATATATGTTCGGTAGTTGGGTGTGGAATATTTCCATGTGACCTTTTCCATTGCGGACTTCCCGTTTACATACACAGAAGTCGGTAATCCTCTTTGTTAGAACTCAATAATCCTCTTTGTAAATGCAGTTAACTAACGTCCTTCATCTTTATTTATGGGTGAACTCATTTTGCTTTTATAGCTCTGTCAGTGAATTGCAACCCGGTTACAAAGGCCATGACAGCATGTAATTAATGCCTTGTCCATCATGACCAGGGAAGCCCCTCTTGTTTTCCCTGGCCATGACTACTTACATGTGTGCTCCTGTTCAGGCTGGGGAACGCTTTCTTCTTAGGGTGGAGATGGCAATATAATCATTCCCAGTTTGCGTCAATGGCCAAGAGGCAGAAATCTGGTCTTGATCAAGAGCCTTCTAAAGATGGCACAATGTCAAATCATTGATTCACATTCCGCAATGCATTTTTCCATTGATTATTCACGATTAGCAATGCTTGCTGTGTTCATTTCAGAGAGACAATATAAAAGGACGCCAAAGGAAGTGACAGAGGGACTTAAAGCTAAGCAATATTAGTTGGAAAGGTTAGTGTTCAGAAAAGAAATCAAAACAGAACAAAAGGAGAGCATGGGGACACATGTGAATCAAAAAGCGGGGTCCGTGTTGAGAGGAGATGAGGAAGCAAGAGACAGTGTAGAAGGACAAATAAGTCAGGGTTTTTGTCTACCCCCTTTGGGTGCTCTATGGATACTCTAGCTCGTAATTCAACCAAATCAAAGTTCTTTTTTTTTTTTTTAAAGATTTATTTATTTATTCATACAGAACTGGGGTATAGGCCAGAGATGCGGAGGGTGAGAGGATTCATCAGAGACAGAGCGGGGAGCAGAACAGGCAGATCGGTGAAGTACACTGCCGAGGGGAGCAGCGGGTGGGTCAAAAGAGGTCTGCCGCGCCATGTGGGTCACCTCTGGGGCAGGCGGGGATCGAACTCATGCAGAAGTGGCTTAAGCTTCTTAGTGCTGTGCTTTAACCCACTGCACCACCAGGGAGGGTCCTCAAAGTTCTTTTAAAATGAATACAATTCATGCTTTTTTCTGTGCTATATCTATGAAGCATCTTGGATATCCTCTCCCACAGCTTCCATAAACCCCTACTGTAATCGTTTGAGAGTCTTATAAACATTTTCAAGGTCATGACAGACCTTACGCTTTTCTTCCTATTTCTGGCACATGATTCCTGACCAGTTTACTTTTTAGAGGTGAACCCATGCTTTGTTAAGTCTTAAACTTTTTGATTTAGGGGGAACTCTTTATGACAAATAATACAATATTTTAAAAACAATAGTACATGTAAACATGAATCCTAACTAAAATGAAGATGCTAACCAAAAAATCTTACTACTTGAAAATGTAACATAAATCTAGCAAAATCAAGACAAAGATATGAGCATTATCGTTTTCATCATCTTTAACCTGATTTTTGACTATATCATCTTTGACCACATCAACATGTGTCAATGGTTGTCAGCATAGTTTACTTTTTTAAAAGATTTATTTATGTATGTATACAGAACTGGAGTAGAGGCCAGAGGTGTGGGGGCAGTGAGAGGATTCACCATAGTCAGAGTGGGGAGCAGAAAAGGCAAATCAATGAAGTACACTGCTGAGGGAGGCAGCTGGTGAGGCAGGAAAAGTCTGCTGCGCCCTGTGGGTCACCTCTGGGGTGGGGATTGAACCTGCTCTAAGTGGCTTTGGCCAACTTCACAGTGCTGCCAACATGGTTTTCTATAGAAAGAAATATCATTCAGTTTTTCTTCTAGAATTTTATATCAAAAATACAGTATCTGTCATGATTTTGAAAAGTTTGTCATTAATAGTGCCACCTCTGTAACATCTTCCTTGTCTTTGCCAGTGTTCAAGCATGGGGTTGTGCTGAGCTCACACAGGTACCCTGGTTCCCTTTCCACCCCAGTCTGCTGTCCCTGGGGGATGGGGACGTGTGAGAAACATGGAGTTTTCAAATGATGTTAGCCAAGATTCAGTGGTCTGCACTCATGCTACAGAGCAACTTCTGGGCTTGAATCCTTGCAGAACCAGAGCTCCTTGCTGTTCTTGCTTTCACTGGGTTGACTCTGGGGGTTAGAGTAATAAAGACTGCTCTCTAAGCCCACACATGTCCCCAGAACTACTTCAAGACCAAAAAATAATTTTAGGTTTCTCTCTCTCTCCTCTCTCTCTCTCTCCTATCTCCCCACTGTTAGTGTTAGTTCTTTTTTTTTTTTTTTTTTT